CTAACGATGGATTCTATTTTCAATATTATTTATCATTAATAAGAGCCTATGCTTGTTTCACATAAAATTAAGTAAGAAAGCTATATACGGCGGGGGTCGAATCTCGCATACCCACCACTATTTCGCATTTTAAAGAAAAAAGTGATCTCGATGTCTACCATATTCATTTTCAAATTAATTCATTTTTAACGCGAACAATATATCTTCACTTAAGGAGTTTTCAACATTCGGTCTTAGATGCCTTATGATAAACAAGCATAAAATCTCGAAAAGGTGAAAAAAAAAATAAATTTAATTACTTGTAAGTGTATGTGGGCATCGCGGATGTTTTCCACTTTGGCACGTAAGCAATGGAGTGCTTCCTAAAGTACACTTGGAACATTCCAGTCTTCTAGCGTTTATAATTTTTGAGTAACGAGCGAAAATCCAAAAATTTTTGTCAAAAGGAAACGGAGTTGCGTTCAGTTTACGCTCCATTACGCACTTCTTCTCGTTTTTAATACTGGCCTGCTGGGAGAAACTTGCAATGTTTCTACGAAATTTGAAGGCGATATTTTCATTATTGCGACCAGGAGAGTGCCAACAACACACAACACACAGACGAACAGACGAGCAGGGACGGGTAAATCGACTCAGAATTTCATGCTGATCAAGTAAACATATACTTTATAGGGTCTCTGAAGCTTCTTTTTGGGTGTTACATATATTATAAAAAAAAAAAAAACAAAAAAAACGAAATGAGTTTATTCCCATCTTACACTGTTGGGTATGATAACAAAAAGAAAAAAAACCGATCATTATTAAAATGTAATAAATTCGTAATATGTAATAATTAGTAAGAAATATGAAGATAAGATAGTTATATGAAATAAGAAAAATCGCTGAACAAGTTTTGAGAAATTTCCCTAAAAAATTGTACTCAAAGTACAAAATACTTTATCGTACTTGCAGACTGGCAGACTGGCGGTAGACTTGAAGAAATCTCTGCTTATTTACGTGTTACTTACATTGATTTCAAATTATTTCTGTTTTAAATATTTGATTGGGATTTTCTTATAGATAATGTTTTTTTTTTTTTTTTTTTTTTTTTTTTTTTTTTTTTTTTTTTTTAATAGATCGAGATATCAAAATGTGTTTATCGCTTATTTATGCTTCAACAGCGTTGAAAGTTTTTTTGTTTTTCTTTTTCAATGTCCGTAAATGAATGTTTTTTTTTTTTTTTTTTTTTTTTTTTTTTTTTTATATAATATATTTTTTTATACATAAAGATATTTATTCTATATGAATGCAGTAAAATATAATTCACCATGTAATGAATGATGAAAATTTATCATAAGAATCCGTCAAAGATCATGCTAGTGTTTCCAGTTGTTATATCTGAATATATTAAAAATGCTTGATTAGCAAAACATTTTTTTAGGTTATGTTTATTCATATACATCTCATATCAAATTTCAAAAATATTCTCTTTTAACAGCTTATCGGACCGTTTTGTAATGATTCATTACATTTAGTCGCTTCCGTTCGCTTTTTATATATTTTTATTTTCGCATTTTAACTTGTGAAAATCTATCATTTTTCGCTCAGTAATTGGGTTCGAGTGAATGTGATGACATCGCAAGCTCGCCCAAAGTTTTGAGCTATTAACAAATCGGGCTAAGCCCTACCCCACATCATATTGTCTAACACAGTTCTTATTCCTGCCAGAGATCGCAAAAAATTCGACCCTATTGTTATATTAAAAATTAGACGTCTTTGCAAATGAAGGCTTGCCTTCCATAAGAATGGTTGCACCCAAGACGTACAAAAATGTCAGTTTTTACATCAAACTACGGTTATGAATCCATTTTCATCATAAAATATTGAAGCTTCGAATTTCTGTCCTAAAAAACAGAAATTTTCATGAAAATCCCTAAATCGTATAGGATCCAAATATGGGCGTAGATAGTCCAAATTTAGTAAAATTTGAATTTTTTCTATTTCAAATTACCATCAAGGGGTTAAGTTTCATCATAACTTGTTAAAACTTTAACTTTTCTGAGCTAGAAATTATCAATCAAGGGATCAAGGGTACGACCCAACATAGGGTAGGTCGAAATGGTTCAAACTTGTTGCAACTAATTTTTTTTTTTTTTAATTAAATTAGTATTACGATCTGATTCTCATCACGAGGCATTGAAAATTAGACTGTTTTGTCATACGTACTGCAGTTTTCGTTCTTTGAGATGTGGTTGAAAAAAAAATTTCCCCCACCAGTCCAATGTTTTCATACCAATTTAGAATGTAGAAGTGCCTAAGATTACTTAGGCACTTTGAAATTGCTATTTTTCTCATAAAACGGCTTCACAAAATAGGACGTTATATGGGGAGTGGTTGAAAAATTGGACCGATCCAAACCATTTGTAATAGCGTTCGTTCCTGAGTCAAAATATCTCACTGTATTCAATATTATGAATATATCTCAAAAATTTCGACCTGTTGCTTGAACACAAATTTACATGGGTAGACGGGCAGACAGACTTAGATCAATTCAAATAATGATTCTGAATCGATCGATATAAGAAAAGGCGGGTCTGTCTTAAGCAATTCTGCCTATTGCATACATTCGCACAAACTTAATATATCCTGTATCACAAGTGATATTGGGTTATAAAAGAGGAAATTTTGCACCGATAAGAGGGAATCAGATGTTAATACAAAATTCTGAACACTTTACCTGAAATGAATTTATGCCTTATGCGATGGGTGCACGAAAATTCGTTGCAACAGTGTTTATTGTATACTCTCAAGCGTGAATTCATTTATCTAAGATTGTGTTTTGGATTTTGTTGTTTTAACAATAAATAACTAACTGGTTTAGAAATTAGTAAAAATATTTAAAATATTCATATTCAAATGAGCTAAAGTCAGTGACCCAACAGCTATGTCTTAGCATTAGAGAGTAAAAGAAGAACACAATAAGGAAGAAAGATGTAGTCGCCTCCGGCGAAACTTTAAATATTCATACCCTCAACCCAACACTTAACAAGTAATCGAAATTTTATGTGCTTTTCTATTGCCGTAGAGCGATACATAAAAATTCACAAGCGTTTTGTTTATTATGGTTAATTAGAACTTTTTTACTCTGCTCAGTAATTGGGCGCAAGAGTTTTTATTCAATATCTTGTACAGTTTTCGTTTTCTTTTTTCGTGTAGGCGCCGTGTTATTAAGTCACGAGTCAATCGCGAATATTGATTGTTGTCATGAAATTTGAAAGAATTTCACGAAATAATTTCTCTTTTAAGTTTTACATCAATATAGGATGACATGAAGAGATCATTTTGTTATGGCGAGTATCGTCAGTCGTTCGCGGAAATCATTCTTATCTATACCGAAATTTCTGCATTCGAATTAACCTATGATAAGCAGACAGAGGAATGGACATACGGACAGATTAAATGATAGCGGGTAAGTCATTTCGAAGTAGTAATTAAATTACTTAAGAACACATACGTTTGATGGGTGTTTTGCTTCGAACTTCTGGCAAGGATATCGAATAAAGTGCAATTCTTCGATAGCTGCTTTAAATGTGGACTTATCGAGTAATCATTTGGATACATTACCGCGTTAAAGTTGAAATATTTGCAGTAAATGTTAGCAGTGACTTTTAGGTTAATATTATGCATGCGATTAATGTATTTGGTAAATATTAGTATAGTAAGGGCATGTGTTTGTAGAGCGACTTTAACTCCTGCTTCCCGCCTCTATACTGTTTTCGCCATTTATTCAATATTTATAATCCTAATAAACCTAATCGCAACAGATAGAGGTGACTATATAGATTAAAAACCCTACGAAGATTAAGAATACCTCTAATAGATGACCAATGGATGATCTTTCGAAGCAAAATGTTCCGTCTTATCAAGTTGCCATAAATCTTAAAATGAATTCATTTCTAGACATTGTGTCTTCGGACAAATAAGACGACTCTACGGGTCTTTTAACGTGATAGTCTAAGCAAGTCTGGGTTCTTTCTTTACCTCACTTAACTTAACGTATTTGGATGAGTCAGAGGTAGAATGCATTTAGTAGACAGAGGCAGTCAAGTTAAGCAAAACTGAAGAAGAAGTTAAGGCAAAGGATTATTTGTAAATTTCGAAAATTTTCATCTAATGACCAAAGTGTTCGTTAATTATTTTTAGTTTGCGGAAAAGGTGTTGAGTGATTTTTATCTTATTTTTTTTGTTATTTCATTTCATTTCATTTCATTCATTATGCAATTGCATAACATTCGCTGTTCAATATTGTCTATGATCCTTTCGAAATTTTTTAAAATCTAATGATAGAGAATTTCAAACGACTTGTCGGCTAAGTGCTTTTCGTAGTCTTCTTTTGGGATTCTTGTAGAGAATAATGGGAACGATCGTCATTCATTCGTACTAATTGACTAACTTTTGAGACGAATGACGGGACACAAAGCTATCCTTATGCAAATTGTAGATTGAATTATCGGACTTTAAATGCGCGCTGGTAGAATGCCATCTGCTCAGTGTTGACCGATGTATAATGACGAATGAAACACGAATTTAGTGACAAAAAATCTTCTTCAATATATCTTCCCGAAGCCGATATTGAAACTTAATACCTTATTAGTTATAAAACTACTATCTCTCTCTCTCTCTCTCTCCCTCTCTCTCTTTCGCTACATCTCTCTCGTCTCAAGTGAATTTAGCGAAGAATTTCTTCACTATATATATTTATATGTACATTGATGATGATACATGCATATATATATGTATATATATATATATATATATATGGTAACGATTTTTACTTGACCTTATATATACGCAGGCACACGCACGCACACATAGACGACACATAGACATGTATTTTAATTTATAAGAAAATGTTTACATTTTTATTTAAATTTTAAAAAAAATATTAAAAATAATGATGTAAAAAGCATGATCATATTTTATGAAAAATGTAATACGTGGGAAAAAGGCTCAGACAAAATTTAACCCCATAGAAGAAGTTTTTTTAGTTTTTTTAATTTAAAAATCGATTGCGAGTTTTGGGCGGTTGGCTGATCTCCGGATTCATAAATATTGCCTAACAAAGACTCATCGACAGGCACGGCCGAGACAATCGCAATAAAGGCAATCGAAAGAAGGCATAAGTAAATTGTCTATATGAAGAAGAAAGAAAAGAAGATGAAGAAAAAAGAACACAATGGAAGACAAGATAAAAATTTTGAATATTATTTTTGTTGAGACGCGATTCACGCAACTTACCGCAGTTAAAAGTTTCATTATGCCTTTCGTTACGCAAGTGCAAAATGACAAAAAAATATAATTTATGTTGTTACACCTGCACTATGGTCGATGTGTATTCTCAGACTGATTGTTTCCTTATTTTTAAAACTTAACTGAGTTCAATACAAATTGATCAATGTCTTTTATACTTACAAAAACAAAATACAACAACAACAACAACAATAAAGATTCGAAAGAAAAGAAAAAATCTTTAGCTTATACTTGTATGCCGACTTACGGGCAGAAGATGACGCTTTACACCCTACAACATAGGCATAGGCAAAAATCACCTTAGGGGCATGGCTTGCAAGTAATCGAAAGTTTACATTTATAATATCGAGAAAATACTGAGAGTCTCTCAATTCTCTCAATCTTAGTGTAAAAGTGAAATGGACTTTTTATCGACATGGGGTTGATTCTTATGTTATGTTAGATTAATGCAGAATTTTTATCAAGTTTTTTATGGAGGGCAGCACGACTTGCATTTGCGGCTATTTCTTAAATTCATACCCGTATCAAAGTAGGATTCGCTTTTGAAAATAAACTTTTCGCTCCTTATGATTATTATTATTATTATTATTTTTATTAGTTGTGATAGCTGAGTTAAGATCTAACTAACAATGATGGGATATATTGATCATTGCGATCATGCGAATGCATGCATGTTATATAATCTTTCCGAAATGCGAAATTAAATTAATTAAAATAAAATCATTTAACCTAAGTAATAACTGGATTAAAAATTAGTAATTAAATTAATTACAAGAAAGTCTTCTAATTAAGTTAAATTTAGCTTAATAGGCAGAAATGTTGAAAAATTTCTATATTTTAATAGGGTAACGTATTAAATGCTTGACTCTAACCCTATATATATATATATTTATGGCATTTTTACTGGTTTCATGCCCAATATTTACTCGACTTCATCACATGCCAAGTTACTTAAGTATATAATGCACAAGCGTATATGCATAGATGTATATGTATGGATGTAGGTATTTGTTATGTTCCTCAACTTTACTAAAGACTTTAAAATCATAATAGCCCTCACACTTATTATCATGCAAAATTATATACATATATACATATAGTATATACATATATGTAAGCAGATGTGTATATAAACGACGGGTATGTCCGCAATCAGGTTTGATGATATCTTCAAAAATGAACTAAAGTATTTGTACATATATGTACAGGGGCTTGTAATAGGGTGTATGTGCCCTCGGTCTTTCAAGTTATTATTGTTTTTATTACTTCTTCATCTATAACAATACGTCTAGGTTTATTCGGTTTCGTTAAACTTCCTTTAAATGAAAGTATTATGATTTCCACAAGAATTGTGCTAAGAGAATTAATTCTTAAGTGCTTTTCGAAGCGCTAAGCAAATTACGCAAAAGCACTGCTGCAATAAATTCAGTGCAGGTTTTTTGAGTCACATCTAAACGGAATTGCTTATGCTTGGAGAGAGAGTTGGATGTATCGCAAGAATTTTGCTAGAAAGTCATCCAAGCTGAAATCTTCGATTTTGCCCGTTTCTGACACTGAAATTCCTTAACCTTAGCGGTTGCTTTTTCTCTTTTTTTTTTTTTTTTTTTGTTCATGGCTGTAGCGAAACAGGTACATTGTACAGATTAGTGTGGACAGAGTGGAGCGGAGGACATCGAAATTTGAATTTGAAAAGAAAGCTTTTTATATTGATGCCTATTATCGATGACGATTGATATTTTCTTGCATAAATTGACATTAAATCAATTTATAATTTAAGTGTTGCTGAGCTAAGATAAGTAACCTCTTTTATGTGGCCATTTGTTTTTGAGGGAAGAAATGCTTTCTCGTTTACAATCAATTAATTAAATATGCATTGAATTATTTAATCTCTAACTGCACCCAAATAAGCGCAATTTACGTGCATTGCCTAATATCTACCTAATCGTTAGCTTGTACACGATTTTTAGCCTAACTGGAAGATGGCGCAATGGTTTCTCCTCATTTATCCTATATATCGTATATCGTATATCGTATATCGTATATATTTTAAAACAGCATTTTATACAGTTTATTAACATCTCTTCGAATAATTGAAAGTCTTAGGTCAATTACTCAACCGCATATTCATGCAGTGTTTTGTGTTTAGTAATGGTCAATTCTTAGCCAAATTTAGCTGCTTTTTGAATTGGACGTTGTGTGTGACACGACTTAAGAGAACACCAAACTAATGTCGATCTAAATGCCTTAGAGCAAAGAAGAAATTTATGATTTTTTCATTCATTATTCAGGCTGATAAGAATCATAAATATATATACTGAAAGAGGTCTCTCATGAGTAATTCATTGCATTAAAAAAAAACTAACTAATCCTAGTCCACAATACGCTCTATGAAGGAAATCGAAAGCGAAAGAGAAACTATATTAAGTCCGATTTACATCATGCTTATAAGAGAAACAATCGTTTATGAATTGTTTACACTGTCTTGCCATTACTCCTCCTCGTCTGTATTGCATTGCATATAGGCAAAGAGAAAATGTATTAACATAAGAATAACATAAGAACTTTTTATACTCCATAAATGATATGAACGTACGCGAAATTTCAAATCCGATTTCTGTTGATTGTTTGACAGCACTTCAAAAGCAATTTTATAAGCGGACATGTGTACTTAAATACAACGCCACACATATAAATGTTATCTATTTTAAAGAATATTTTTTCGGGCTTATTGAGTCTTTTGTCGAATTCCCGTTTATGTCCGACACCACTTATGGTACAGGATATATTAAGTTTGCGGGAACGTGGGTAACAATCGGCAGTGCATAAAATAGATTCACCTTTTATTATGCCATTCATATGTTTGTCTGGCTGTCTCGTGGCAGTCCATGTAAGTCTATCTTCAAGCTGCAAGTCGCACTTTTTGAGATATTTTTATGAAATTTAGTACACTGACTGAAATTTTTTTACATAAGGACGAACATTATTGAAAATGGTTTGGATTGGTCCGTTTCTTCAACCAGCCCCCAAAATAAAAAAAATGGCAAAATTTGTCGACGAAAGGCGCTGAGTAGCAGTATTTCGACTTTCTAATTTGGTACGAAAAATTTGATTTGGCTGAGTGAGTTTTTTGAACACCCTCTCGTATAACCATTTCTACGAAAACTGAATCTTTATATAGTAAATAGGTCTGATTTTCAATATTTCATGGTGAAAATTGGTTCGTATGGGTAAATTGAGAAAGAAATTATCGTTTGGACCGAGTTTGAACCATGTAGGCTAATATTTTGGATACCACCGCTTATAAAGAGTTTTAGAAAATGTAAGCCCTGACGTCTAATTGTTAACGTTTTGTAATGAAAATTAGTTCATCATAGCAGTTTGACATAAAAATTAATTGTACAAAATTTGAATCACATACGTCTATTTCTTGAACCCCAATCCATATAAGATATCTCTTGAATTGTAAGTGCTTCAGAAAAAAATGTAATTTTTAATATTTTACGAAAACGATGAAAATCACTTGATAGATGATAGTAGCAATTTAGCAAAAAAAAAAATTAGCGATAGGGAATTTGAATCAGATAGGTCTCTTGTTTAGATCCTAATACATTTAGGACTTATCATCGAAAGCATAGCGAGAATGTGTAATTTCTAGAAATTTGTTTGGCAAGTAAATTACATTTGTTAAATTTGGATCAGGTCGTGTAGTCTCTTAGGCACCGTCCAATATGGGGACTTTCATGAAAAGTATGTCTTTGCATAAAAAGAATGTATTCTTACCAAAACGAGTGATTATCTTTACTAGTTGAATTGATGTAGGGTATAGGGTAGGGTTAGCCTTGTCCGGCTCTAATTTGCTTACTCGTGTTTTTATAAAGCGCGTATCCCTTCCAAATTTAGTTAAATGCCAATGTTGAACCGATGGATCGATTTCAGTATAAATCGACTGTGAATTTTTATTCTTATTAAAACTACTTGTGTTTGCTGGAATCATTTATGCGTTTGCCTGAAATGATATGAAAATGATTCAATGGCGAACGATTTGATGCCCAAAAAATTAGAAATTTTCTCACTATTTTCGCTGCTTACTTTACTCAAGTATAAACCGTAAGGTAAGAGATCTTCAATCTACAATCCCGGAAATTGTAATTGGTAAAAACGATAATACGGAAGTAGATTTGAAAAGGCGTTCATGTTCCATAAAATTTCTTATTCGCGTTTATGATGCGCTTATCTCGATCTTTCTTCTATCTTTCAAAATTTGTTAGCTCAACTCTTAATATGAAATTATTTTTTTGGCGGGCATATGTTGAAAAGCAAAACAAAAAAAAAGAAGCAATTCCACGTTTCGAATGGTATTGTTATTCCAACTACTTTAACTCGTTAATCAAATGTTAGTAAAAATAATGTTTTTTCTTCTCATTATGTTTTATAACTTTCAAGATTTGTTTGCTTATCGCATATTTATACCTGAATGTATTATTTATATGTATGCGCAGTTAAGAGCAAAACAATTGCGTACATCTCTCGACATTAATACATTCTGGCATGTAGTTTAAAAATCTCATTTGATACACGCCTTCAACTCGTATCGGTAAAGAGTCAGTCCCACGTAACAACACTTTGTATATATATATATTTGATGGGGTTTTTGAGATTTGATTGACAAGTCCGACAAATCCGAAACTTTTCAAAATTATTATAAAACACGAAAATTGTATTTTTCATGTGCGTAATTCTGGGGAAGCGGCCCCAAAACGCAACCTAATGCAGTACAAGTTTAATTCTTACATAGGGCAGGATTCAAAAATAACCGTAGATTGTCTACATTTTGTACAGTTCATTGCTGTACAAAATTACTATAATATTATGGGTCAATTTCCAAACTTATTAGGATAGGATTCAAAAAATAGGCCGAGGTGCTCCAAATTAGGCATAGTTCATTGCTTTATGTTAAATTAAGCATTGCGAAGCATTGAAAATCATGCCTTTTTTTCGTATGAACTTTAGTTTTCGCTAAATTGGGGGAGCATTCAAAAATTGCCCCAGCCAGTC